CCCCGCGTCCCCACCGTGGGGCTCACCTGGGGGCGGGTGTCCCCGGAGCTGCTCGCTCTCGCGCCTGTAGACATCATTTTGGGCTCGGATGTCTTTTTTGACCCAAAAGGTACGTTGATACTCTGGGGTGGCTTTGATTTGTGACAAACTTCGTGTCCCCAGGGGTGCTGGGAGCGCTGTCACCTCAGGTGAGGGCCGTTGGGGCACCGGAGCAGTTGTTCCTGGGGCGATTCCAGCGCTGAGGTGTCCTCAAATACCACCGGGGGGGGGAGTAGAAAACAGAGCAGATGAACCAACTGCTCAAGGCCCCGCTGCTCTCGTGGAGAGGCTATTAGTCTTGTGTAGATTTTTAATTACCCTTGTGTACCACCAGGCCTGTGACCTGGAACCCAGAGACTAACCCCGATTGCTTCATCTCCCCAAACCGCACAGACTTTGAAGATATTTTAACTACAATTTACTTCTTGCTGGAGAAGAATCCACATGCTCAATTCTGGACTACTTATCAAGTCCGAAGGTAAACGCTTTTTCATATTTAAGACTCAAATCTTAATTCCTGTCTCAGCTCCCGAAGAGCATTAACTTCTCCGAGGCAGCACCGCACCGCTTCCCGAGAGGCTCCTCCTCAGATTGGGGAGCCAGGTAAATCCTGGGGGTAGCAGGTTAAAGCAGCCAAACCAGAAAATAACCCACGAACCACCCCTTTACGGTTAACTAGAAAACTGCTGCAAACTCGGTTTTGTGACCTGTTGCGTTTCAGTTTGGTCACAATCTCCTGTAACTACTGCAGAAGTTAGAAACCTGCCTTGCCTTTTCACACACTGGTATTTCCTCCCCAGTGCTGACTGGTCTATTGAAGCTTTGCTCTGCAAATGGAAACTGAAGACCGTCCACGTTCCCTTACGTTCCTTCAGTGCAGACAAAGAGCACTTGGCCAGCTCCTCTCTACCAGGAAGACACACAATCGAAATGATGATCATTTCACTGGCACACTCAGATGGTACTTAAGTTTATTCCGCTTGATGGTTCCAATACAAGATGATACTTAACCGCTCGCTGTAGCACGGATCTGCAGGAAACAGTCCTGTTTACAGCAAACCTCATGCATATTTTTCAGGAAGCAGATCCCCTTAGCAGTAATTCTGAAAACATGCATTGTAAAAATAAAGCTGTTTGATTGTTCACCTGTGGCTTTTGGGAAATTTGTGCTACTCCCCAAAGCCCCTGTCACAGGTCAAAGACTCAATTCCGTTCCGTAAGCCACTACACAACATAGCTCAACCGCCTGACAATGCACCAAGAGCCAACTTCAATTCACAAGTCGGCTATGCAGGAAAAAGTTAACCGCACTCTTTCGAGATTAAAAAAATATCCCCAAAAGATGTTTCCCAGGACTGAAGCTCCTTCCCAAAGACTCACGTAGGAAAGCCAGCCCCTTTGTTTCTAAAGGCATCTGCGCAGACTGCCGCTAGGCACAGCCCTGGAACATACAACTCCTCGGTTGGTAGAAAAGCACTTTTAATCCTCCAGCCAGCCAGACGGCCAGTATTCAGATGTTTCCATTCCCAGTGAACATACATGCATGAAGTTAACAAGGCATTGCAATCCCCCTTGAAGTTACAATTCGTTGGGTACCCAAATCAAGAAACAAGCAATCGCCACGGTTAAGATCAGCTCCCAGCAAGCAGCAGCCTGTTGAGCCAGGGCAAGCACACGGCCCACGCAATTAGTACTGCTCAGGGTGTATCTTCCGTCACAACGTCCGGCGGACCCGCCTGGTGCTGGGTTCAGTCTGGTGGGCAGCACTGGCCGTGCCACCGTCGGGTTAGTCACGACACCAGCTCAGTTCGCCCGCGGGAATTTAAAAGCAACCCCAGTGGATAAAATTGAGCAGCAGTAGAACGCATCCAGTTACTATATAGAAGTTAAACATTGACAGTGTAATTGCAGAAATCTTTTCAAGCTAAAAATAAGCTGACTCGGACATTAAGTTGAGAAAAGTTAACACAGAAAAATGTTTAATATTAACTACAGAGACAGTGGGTATAGTACAGAATGTCTTAAGCAAAAGATACACCAATCAGTACTTACAAAGGAATGAACCATTTCGTTTCTTAACATTACATTTCTCATATGTAAGTTCGTATATGCAGGTTGGTAAGTTTTACCATTCTGGAAAAAATAAGGTGTGTATATCATCAGCTAGATGTGCTCACTGTATGCTCCATTATTTTTACGCAAGGCCCGGGTGACTGGAAGTGCAGTTGTCAGGCATTTTAATTAACTGGACAGCCATTTGTTTCTGCACGACAAGGCATCGTTACACAGGAGCAATCAGGAGAAAACAGGAAACAGCCAAGCACTCTGCACTGCAACACGCCACCTTAACAGCTAACCAGCATTACTCAACTGCTACACAACTGCGCCTAGTGCACAAAAATACATAAGAGAAGAGATTAGAATTGAGTCTGATAAAACCATCTTTTCAAATATCAACTGTCACCTGAAAAGATTTCTACCAATTTGAATTTGAAGATACTATTTGAATCCAAAGTTAAAAAAAAAAAGCATTTACAGTAAGTTTCAATTAAATTGAAGTTTTGCAGAATTTTGTTTAAGGAATGAAGACAAAATTGAGAATACTTTTTGACAGTTAGCTACTCGGCATATAATGGCTGCATGTTTCCTCAGTATGAAACTGAAGCAGCAAGTTACCATCAGTTTTAATTTGAAATAAAAGTCAGCACTATATAAACAAAAATGAAGTTTTACCTCAAATATCCAAGCCAATAATGAAATCGGTAGTCGTTCACTTCACTAAATTACAAGAAATTTGAATAACAGCAACAAAATGGCACATAAAATGTAAAATCTGCCACTTGAGGCGCAACTTAAACAAGTAAAAAGTTAGACAAAATGTTACAAAATAACCTTTTCAACAGCTGGTTGCTCGTGCCAGGGGTCTCTCCAATGGACTGAAGACTCAAGCGATCTTTTCCCCCCAAAGGCGTCCTTTATGTAGGTTCTCATTTATCTGATGCATCTAGGTTTGAAGAGAGAGAAGTTCAGCCAGGTTTCTACCTTGTCTCTTTTGTTTGTGTGGATGACTTCAGGTATACTTCTAGTTGTGTTTCAACTGGCTTTGCCTAATTTAATTAAGTTTTAGGAATTTCCATAGTGTTCCACCTCCCCCCCGTGTGTTGCTTTACTTCAGAGGCCAAATGTAAGGTTCTTGTCAAAGTATTTAGTTACAAAGAAGAACAAGCATCAGGCTGGAGATCAAGCCACATTAACTTCAATTCAGCCTGTTCCAACAGTCGTTTATTAAAAGTTATATAAAAGTTATAAAACTAACACTCCTTCATAAAGACTTAACTAAACGCTAATTAGCATTCAAAACAAAAAGTGTGACTAATTTTGCTACAATTATCTAACTGCAGAGCTAGCTTAGGCCCTTTCCTTTTAAAAATAGGACCAAACAGTTTGAAGGGTTAAAGACACACTATCCTTTCCCCACCCGGTGTATCCTTAGATGCCTCTTCAAGATGTCGACTTGAGGAAAAAATAGTTTCCATGGTTTTCTCGTTGCAAGGAATTTGCCACTTTTCTAGAACAGTTATTACCTCCAGTCAGTACAACGGCCACTGAACCGATCTTCCGTTATAAAAGGATAGTGTATCTTTAACATTTAAAGACAAACCTGCTCCAATACACGCCCACAGAAACTGGTCCCTGGAGGATCAGCCAAATCAGTTAAAATCTGCAATACTGGCCAATATTCTTTTAGCAAACAGGAGACCGCAGCTTTAAAGGGGAAAATGCAGATGTTGGATAAATACAGTAAGAAATAGTCATTTTCATCATAGGTTGCGTCTCATACAATATTTTATTAAAACCAAGCCATTAATCTCTCAATAAAACATTTTCTCTGTAAAAAAAATTCTCCGTAGAAAGCCCTTCGGTATTAATTTCCCTAAACCAATAACCAAAACGCACTGCTCAAATAATAATAATTAAAAAAAAAAACAACTAACAGTGTGCCCCGTTAGGATTCACTTGCTTCAGGCTATTAATACTCTAAGAACTACCCAACACCCCACCTAAGTGCTACTATAAAGTAACATGCAACATGTGCTGATCCCGAGGTACATTACCATGTTCCTAGGAGGACACAGCTCCTTCTTCTTCCGGAGACTTGGGAGGGCTCTTAGACCTGGATCTAGAGTTGGATTCCCTCTTTGAGGCAGGGGGAGGGCTCCTAGATCTGGACCGGGATCTTGACCTGGACCGGGATCTGGAGACAGATGAGGACTTTGACTTGGATCTCCTGGCAGACCTGGACTTCGAGGTGGAGCGAGACCGCGAGCGTGTGCGAGACCGGGATTTGGATCGACTGTAGCGGGACCGACTGCGGGATCTAGAGCGGCTCCTGCTTCTAGATCGGCTGCGACGGCGTCTTCTAGGACTAAAACATCCCGGGAAGAAAGAAAGAAAGAAAAAAAACCCAACAAAACAGCGTTAAAAGTTGAACACGGGCGGCGCAACAGACTTCAGCAACTACCGCGGGACAGGGAGGGCGGAAAGGGACCCACGTGGGCACGAAAATGAGTGTTAAGAGGGCGCCATTGTTCAGAGTGAGTGGCCGGGAGCTACATCTACTACAGGGCGAAACCCTTCCACTCCGTGAGAACTCCACGTGCCTTTACTACTAAACCCCTACTCCCCCCTCCCAACCCGGCCACGGAACTCCCTCGGAAAAGGGAGCAAACCCAAGCGCTCCCCGCTGTAGAGGCGCATGCCGAAGCCCCGTTT